ATTTCAAGGATATTTTCTAATACTCTTCCATGAACTTGGCCTTACGCGGCCTCCCTTCACATCCGCCTGGTCGCAGAAACTTGATATCTTCCCCCAGGAGCGGCGCCACGACGCTGGTACTCTCGCTATCTTTGTTGTATTTAAAAAGGTTAAAAATGTATATATCAAGGTAGCTTCTAGGACCTCTGAAAGTTGTAGAGGAAGTCACTTGCAGAACTTTAACGTTAAGGGCATCTAGGAACGTGAACGTTGAGATATTGGGAACTTAAAAAATAAACTGTCTCTAACATTTAACAGCATTATGTAATAATGCTGTTAAATGTTATTTAACATTAACATACCAACACTGTCCACACTGTTATGGAATGCCTTATCGTGTTATTGCGTCGCATAGCACTTGTATTTAATAGCAAATTTTTCAATGTTACAGGGAGAATAAGGTTAACGACCGTGAAGGTCGTTAACGGTCAGCACGGTGTGGCTCGTCCGGTGGCAGGAATTCTGTTAGCCAATCAGAATCACCGGGCGAGGTAACGAGTGCTGGTCGGAGCATGAGGAGAGACAGAAATCTACTCCCCTCATGCTGTCGTCGCGTTTGGATGTTTGACCAACGGACCCAACTGTTAGTGTGCTCCACCTTCACTAAGGAAGAGGACCTCGCGGCCTGGTCGACGTTCTTGAAAGTTATGGAAGATACCGTCTTTGAGATTTAGAGGTCGGCGTGGAGGTAACGCGCTGATTTCCTGATAGTGGTACAAATTGCCGGAAAGTAGATAATCTATAAGTGGGAGGAACCAACGGACAAGTGACGACAATTTCAGTCATAATATTTCTTATATATATATATATATATATATATATATATATATATATATATATATATATATGTGTGTGTATTACAGACCAATTTATTAATATGAAAGTCCAATGTAAATATAATTAATTTTGCTTTTTCATATCTTCGACGTTGGAGTCTAATTTTTATGCCATGGTATTGTCTCATCTTGGGCTACGTGACGCTAGAATAATTAGTCTCGGGCTAGGTCACATTAAGCTACGTTACTCTGGGCAAGGTTACATTAAGCTATACAAAGCTGCGTTACGATAGGTTCGTAGTGTAACCTAGTCATAATTTTTTTACTGCGTACCGTGAACTACGAAGCCTCTACAGTGATAAATGTTAGACAAATGCTGTATCCTTGAGCACAAACTAGATGTATGGTAAAATATAGACTGACACGAGAAGCTTAAGTAAGACGTGAGGCTCTGGAGACACGTGTTAATGGCACTGGAGATCCATTACTGGAACTCTGAGACGTCTTGTGATGGCCGCCATGATCCTTGAGTCTCGATACATCAGTACTGCGGACATTATAATAATAATAATTTATTTAGGAAAAGTACATGCATAGTTGCAGAGTTACAGTACATACATTCTGTTTGATTTAAAGACAGAGGTAGTACATACAATACCTAAAGCCACTATAGTACGCATAGCGTTTCGGGTTATATCTAACACATGGCACAGTACACGTTAATACAGCACATCCCAATACTGCACAGTATTGCCCACTACAACATAATACACCACAGCCCAGTACAGTATTATGTGCAGCAAATTGTGTTCAGATATAAAAGATCTCGGATGACGAGAAAGGATATACAAATTATTATTTTTTAATTCTTGCACGTCTGTGTGGTTGGTGGTGTTGAGATATTAAAATACTGAGTTGTTACACTTACTGGTTAGCGCTGAGTTAAGGAGGAGGGGAAGCGTTTGCTTAGATGATTGACCAATGGGAAGCTGTGATAGCAGGCCGGCCTCCTAAGGTTTCCCAGCGTCGAGAAACGGTCGCACTAAAGTGCATTATCCTAACCTACCAGACGACCCAAAACAGAAAACGGGACAATGTCATTTTCCAGTAAGACAATAAGTCAAAATTCGGCGCTCTGTTAGGAGGACGAGTTGCTAATAGAGCTTAGCTCACCACATGTCCTCTCACCACCACTCGTATAGTGCAGTGTAGAGCTCTCACGCACACCTTTGTATAGTGTTGTGAAGTGGTGGGAGAGGTGAGAGGGAGTAATGGATGATGACTGGTTGAAGGGAGGAATGGTAGTAGTGGTGAATGATTGTGGGAGGGGTGCAGAATGATGTTTGCTGAGGAAGGGGTGAGGGATGGTGGTAGTGGAGGAGGGGGGGGGGGGTGTGAGGCATCACGCAGACAGCCTATGAGAGGAGTGGTGAGGTGGGGACACCAGTGGTGGGACGGAGAGCACAGTGAGGACATCGCGCCAGCCGGGTCATCAATGACACAGACGGTGGGTGAATCCGGATAAGTCAACACTGTGGCGGTGGGTCAACACTGGTGGGTAGGTCAACACTGGCGGGTAGATCAACACCCGCCACGGTACACAGTGAGCCCTCTAGTGTACAACACATCGTTACTCGTATACAACCTCAGGGTTCAGTTCCAGCACCAGTAATAATTATTGTCTATACGATCTAGCAGTAAGAACACAGAATTATATGAACATGTTTGCTCATGTCAGGCTGCCAGGGAGAATAAGAAATCTGGACGATTGTTGACCAAACCACACACTAGAAAGTAAAGGGACGACGACGTTTTGGTTCGTCTTGGACCATTCTCAAGTCGATTGTGACTTGAGAATGACACAATCAACTTGAGAATGGTCCAGGACGGACCGAAACGTCATCGTCCCTTCACTTTCTAGTGTGTGGTTCGGTCAACATACGTTATTGTGACTCATCGCCTGCATCTGAAAGATTGTTATGCTCTTTCAAAATGACCGGGACAAAATAAGTGTATGGAAAAAGCCCATAAACCACATACGGATTGTGCGAAAAACTTTAAAGAACTCTGATTATGAAAGAGATGGAGGAAATGGTCTGGATAAAACTTTCACCCGAGAACCACATACGCAACTTTGTGCGAAGAGCCTAGGCTACGCCTTCCAACTTTAGAATCGCTTTTAAATACATGGATGGTGAAATATTAAAGAAATTGTCCTCGACCTTTGTGAAACCAAACTTGCCAAATGCAGCGGTTGTATGGTGTCCATATCTCCAAAAGCACATCAGTAAACTGGAAAAGCTGAAAACACACAACTAAATGGATTCCGATACTGAAAAACAAGAGCTGCGAGGAGAGACTAGAGGGAGAGACTAGAGGTGTTACATAAACCACAGCTAGACAATAGAACTAAAAGAGGCGATATGATCGCTACATGCACGATATTAATAGAAATCAACAAAATTGACAAGAGGAATTCTTGAAACTTGCACGTTTAAGAAAGAGGTAACAAATTCACGTTAAGGAAACAAACTGGCCGAAAAGAATTAGAAAGCTGACTTTTGCAAAGACAGTGTTGGACGGTTGGAACAAGCCAAGTGAGGTGGTGGTGGTGGTGGCCAAAACAATCAGTAGTTTCAAAGCGTTATACGACAAAGAGTACTGGGAAGACGGGACACGTAGCCCTCTTACTATAACTACAATTAGGTAATTACTCTTACAAAATCACTATAGACAAAATTATTTCATACCATAAACCAGAGACAAAAATATGCTATTGATACCTAATACGGCTCGAAATAAGATGTGTTATTTCATCACCTGAATGATTGTACTGAATTAGAAAACATAATTAGTTTCGGCAATGACCCTCTGCTTCTTACCACTGCTATGATGGATTGATTAAATTACAACCATGACACTGTAACAACCAGCTTTAAAACTGTGCACTCGCTCAAGCTTGCACTCAGAGTATCTATAAGCCTCCATCTCTGACTGTGCCAACTTGACTAAGTTGTCCTCAACACTTGCACCATCTGACTAAAATGATGACACTTGTTTTAGTCCGACTGATGAACATTAAGCCACCCAAGAGGTGGCACGGGCATGAGTAGCCCGCGAAAGTTTTTAGTCTATTTTCAGTTACATAGATCCTGAAGACCAAACCCCATTATTGTCTCATCGAAATGAATCTTCAGCTACGTTAATATCTACAAAATTAAATATCTTCAGCCAGGTTATTGTGACTCATCGTCTGCATAGGTCATGAAGAGGGTGGGACCGGCGCCGAGCCCTGAGGCACCCCAATCGTTACGGTCGTCCAGTAGAGCTCTCTGTGCACCACACTGCTCCACCCTCCACGCCAGGCAGGTCATCATCCAGGCCCGTCACCTTCCTCACACCTTCATCCTTCCCATCATCATCTCTCTTACTTTGTTTTATTATTTGTTTTTGTTAGTTTTTGTTTAATTATATTACATGCCAAGGAATTTTTAGCATATGTAATTCCAGAATTCTAACTCATTAGGGAATGTTTTGCATTTAGGATTTTCTTCCTTTTTAGAAAGAGGGAGAGAGAGAGAGAGAGAGAGAGAGAGAGAGAGAGAGAGATACAGATACATAAATACATGCTATACACGCACACACACACACACACACGCACAGAGTACAGACAATTAGGTGAGTACAGACCCAGGTTAGGGTTTTAGGGTTACAGTGACGACCTTCTTCCAAAGGTTACCAGCCGCGGGTTTAATGTCGTCCATGTGTGTTACGCCTTCACACACGACCTCCCTAACCCTTCCTCTCTGGCGCGCACACACACACACACACACACACACACACACACACACACACACACACACACACACACACACACACACACACACGTTATATGTATCATTCAATACGACCATCAGGAACAGGGCCCAGCCCGTCATAGTACCGATCAGACTATGGCACAGCAATTGTCGGTATTTTCAAATATTTATTTCTAAGCTGATTAATACCTAACATTATATATTATATTAAGAAAATGACTTGCTGACAATTATTTTAGGTTAGGATCGGTCAGGATAGGTTACGATAGGTCAAGGTAGGTTACGATAGGTCAAGGTAGGTTACGATAGGTCAAGGTAGGTTAGGATAGGTCAAGATAGGTCAGGATAGGCTAGGATCGGTCAGGATAGGTTAGGATAGGTCAAGATAGGTTACGAAAGGTTAGAATAAGTAAGGTTCGCTTTGATTAAATGTCTATTGATTTTGACTGAAATAAAATATGCGAACCATATAACTTAACGAACAACTTTATCATTGCATTAGAAAATAAATATTCGAAAAACTTAATATTTCAGGAAAACTTGGGTTGTTAGGGAAGTGTGGGGTGTTAGGCAGGACATATATATTACTGGCTGAAGTGAAGACTTCCTCGTTGGGGAGCCTTGCTTGCCTTAAGGACGACCACCTGATGCTACGAAAGTTACAATGGGTGTGTGTAACCTTTATGCTTCATGCGCTGACAAAAAGATGTTGTTGAGCGTGGTCCAGAGAGTGGGCAGTGTGGCAGTCTGGCTCCAGTGTGGTCCCCAGTGACAGTCTGGCTCCAGTGTGGTCCCCAGTGACAGTCTGGCTCCAGTGTGGTCCCCAGTGACAGTCTGGCTCCAGTGTGGTCCCCAGTGACAGTCTGGCTCCAGTGTGGTCCCCAGTGACAGTCTGGCTCCAGTGTGGTCCCCAGTGACAGTCTGGCTCCAGTGTGGTCCCCAGTGACAGTCTGGCTCCAGTGTGGTCCCCAGTGACAGTCTGGCTCCAGTGTGGTCCCCAGTGACAGTCTGGCTCCAGTGTGGTCCCCAGTGACAGTCTGGCTCCAGTGTGGTCCCCAGTGACAGTCTGGCTCCAGTGTGGTCCCCAGTGACAGTCTGGCTCCAGTGTGGTCCCCAGTGACAGTCTGGCTCCAGTGTGGTCCCCAGTGACAGTCTGGCTCCAGTGTGGTCCCCAGTGACAGTCTGGCTCCAGTGTGGTCCCCAGTGACAGTCTGGCTCCAGTGTGGTCCCCAGTGACAGTCTGGCTCCAGTGTGGTCCCCAGTGACAGTCTGGCTCCAGTGTGGTCCCCAGTGACAGTCTGGCTCCAGTGTGGTCCCCAGTGACAGTCTGGCTCCAGTGTGGTCCCCAGTGACAGTCTGGCTCCAGTGTGGTCCCCAGTGACAGTCTGGCTCCAGTGTGGTCCCCAGTGATAGTGACTCCGCGTCTCCGTACTATAGAATAACAGCAGTGTGGTAATGGCTGGTCCTTCATAGGGATCTCGACTACTGAACAAGACGTGAACATGTACCTGTGTGTCCTGGGCTACACCCACACATCACCTGTGTACACCGGTGAGGCGAGGACAGTGCCACACAAAGCGTGCGTGAAACCATTACAACTACGCCAGTGATCAACAATTATCAATATAAAAATAAAGCTTCAAATAACTTAAAGTAATGATAAGATATTGTACCAAACAACCTTAGAAAACCCCACCCAGTCGTTCACAGAGGGTCGTTTAAACATTGTAGCCAGTGAGTATAGCGTGAGTCATGACGAACCAGCGGGCAGACGGTGACACAATAGACAACTTGAACAAATCCTCACGCGAGTAATCCCGATGTTGCCCAAGTGTTACAAGCGTGAAGCCACTTAGGACCCGCAGAGAGGAAGTAAGTACGACATTGACTCACATGTACTGCGAATGTTTATCGTCAAAAACTGCTTCACAAACCTAACTGTTGCTTCACAAGGCTAACTGGTGTTCCAGGAACCTAACTGCTCATTTAAGAAACTAACTGGTGCTCCAGGAAGCTTTCTTCTATCTCAGGAGGCTAACTGGTGCTTCAGGAAGCTTTCTTCTGTCTCAGGAGACTAACTGGTGCTCCAGGAAGCTTTCTTCTGTCTCAGGAGACTAACTGGTGCTCCAGGAAGCTTTCTTCTGTCTCAGGAGACTAACTGGTGCTCCAGGAAGCTTTCTTCTGTCTCAGGAGACTAACTGGTGCTCCAGGAAGCTGTCTTCTGTCTCAGGAGACTAACTGGTGCTCCAGGAAGCTTTCTTCTGTCTCAGGAGGCTAACTGGTGCTCCAGGAAGCCAACTTTTCCGTCAAGCGACTGATTGCTGTTTTAGGAAGCTAACTGCTACTTCAGAAAACTAAGTGCTGTTATAGAAAACTAACTGTTGCTGCAGGATACTTAATGTTGCTTCAGGAAGCTAACTGTTGCTGCAGGATACTTAATGTTGCTTCAGGAAGCTAACTGTTGCTTCAGGATGCTAACTGTTGCTTCAGGAAGCTAACAATAGTTTAAGTTGACTAACAGGTGGTTTAGGTGTGCTCAGTGAAGAATACACAATACAATATATCCTTGGTAGGTTATTGTTAGGTGTCATTAGTTACGGGTGCCAGACTTGTCAGGTTATGACCTGTTGGGTGACCCGCGGCTGGCTGGCTGACACCCGTCATGTACACGTCCACAGTGACGGGTGAGGATGACGTAGGACTGGCAATGATAGGCGGTGGAGGATGACACCTGGTTGATACCTTGGTTGATGGGGTTCTGGGAGTTCTTCTACTCCCCAAGTCTGGCCCGAGGCCAGGCTTGACTTGTGAGAGTCTGGTCCACCAGGCTGTTGCTTGGAGCGACACAAAAGCAAGATTTAACAGTGACGGGTGAGGCAGAACCTAGTCAAGCAATTTACTTCACAGCAGAGAGAAGTAATTTAACTCCTTGTTAACAACTCTGAACCACTTCTCTATGTTCTTGACACATCGTCAGAATCGGTTTCCTACGCTGACTCTGCCACTAAGGCGCTCCGCTGGCCACTGTCTTCTCTATCTTCCAAATCCATATGTTAATGACTTATTTCCAATCTTGTTTGTCTCTACAATTGGCCTTATAAATGCATCATTCTCCAGTACCTGCCAGAGTGTGCCCGTGTTCATCGCTTGACAGGGTGTCCCTGCCCATCACAGTATGGTTGATCACTCCAGTTTTAGTTTAACTTCCACTGTCCTGAGCCCAATCACTTGGACTGGTTGGTATTGAGCGACGGCCTTGCGTCTTGCTGGACCGGGGTTCGATTCCCGGCAGTCCGAGTGGATGGGTATGGTTCCTTCACCGCCGTTACAACTATCCCAGCGCCTATCCTCTCCTCATGTTCCTTCCATGTTCTATAGTCATGCTGTCGTAGCGCTTTCTCCTCATAATTAGCTTTGCCTTCACAGTTACCATGATCTCGTCATCTGGAGGAACATGGCGACTGTGTCATGGCCAAGTGTTGCCAGGCTCCCTCGTCCAGCAAGCTTTCTTGACGCACCTCCCAGTAAATAGGTACCTGGGAGTTATCCAACTGTTGTGGCTTACATTCTGGAGAGTGGCCAGTCACTAGCAAGGTGCACTTCCATAGCCAGAAGCTCTCTCTCCCCTACAACAAGATAATTGGCATAACATACTATTGATTAAGGAAAGTAAACACTAAGTTCTTCAAGTAGAAGGAATAGGAATAAGGAGGCGGTGGAAGGGAAGGGAACTATCAAGGAAAAGCGCCAAGCCATTACGACTATATAGCACTAGGAAGGGTCAGGATAAGGATTTAGGATGGGAAAGGGGGAGATAAATGGTGCCCCACCACTTGGATGGTCGGGGATTGAACGCCGATCTGCAAGATGCGAGACCGTCACTCTACCATCCAACCCAAGTGATTGGAGCGGTGTTGGTTGTCAGATCTTGGCTGAGCCCAATATTAAAGCCACAATGGCCATATAAACTTACATAGTATCTCCTACCACTCCAGTAGTCACAGAAAACGGGCGTATCTTACAAGTAACCCTGATGATCATATACGATAAAACTGGAGGAATACATTAGGAAGGCGGCGAGTCCAAGCATGTAAGTTAATATGGAGGCGGGGCAAGTGTCCCACCACTAAGTCTGTGCCCACGTTTATACATAGAGCTGTTAGAAAGCTCGTCTTGTCAACTGGTTAAGGCGCCCACTTTTCCCAGAGCTATGTCACCAAACCTAACTAGCCACTCCTACCTCATCTTGGTGTAGTCTGTGCCTCGATAAGTCTTGGTGTAGTCTGTGCCTCGATAAGTCTTGGTGTAGTCTGTGCCTCGATAAGTCTTGGTGTAGTCTGTGCCTCATTAAGTCTTAACCTTTTTATATAATTCATGAAAGCCGTTTGATATGGAGCTCATTACCTGCGTCTTCTCTCACTCTTGATCTTGGTGACAAACACGTGTCTCTCTCCTGTGTGTGTCTCTGGCACTCGACCACAACATCTTGGCTTACATTAAGTACAGGGAAATATCTCTGGCCGCCTCAACTCTGTCAAGTGGCTGTCACCCTTGACAGATGGACTGGAGTCTGGAGACACACATCTCACACACCTGGATACATGATCATTATTACAAAAAAAACGCTAAGCCAGTTCGACTGTGTAACATTTGGTAGGGATATGTCGATATGGAGCTTGGATATAGGGATAAGGAGCTAGGATACGTTGATAAGGAGCTGGGATATAGGGACAAGAAGCCGGGATAAGAGGACAAAGATCTGAAATAAGAAGACAATAAGCTGGGATCATGTGGATCAGGCTCTAGGATAGAACCGACAAGAGGAGTGGTGTCCAAGCAATTAGACGGTCGGAGATCGAACGTGGACCTGCAAGAAGCGAGGCTGCCACTGTACTGGGCTGTCCACGTGGTAGGACCGTACATAAACAAACAGACCTAGCCACCAGAAGAGACAAAATTCAATACAAAACATTCAAATGGGACGACAGGACCCCTGACGAGAGGCATCAGATGTTAGAAACGTTGGACAAAGGCTTTTGTTCTCCCGCCAGTCAAACACGGGACCTATGTGGCACAGTTGCGCGTGACTCCGACTGTGCCACACACACTCACGCGCGTGCACCATCCGCAACAGCCACTGGCGTGCCCTGGAACGTCAGTATCAGGACAACACAGCAAATGTTCCGGGATATTTTCATCTGACAAGTACTCAGATTCGTGAGCCAGATTGACACAAATCAGGTGCTTGATAAAGTCCTTCCTCGCGCTGGAGAGGCAGGTTAGCGAACCCGTTCACAGCCGGGTCTCCACCGCGGCTACACTAGGGAGGGCGTGACCAGTCACCCGTCACCTGAACCAGGCCGTTGACCTATCCAGTTAGACAGGCCTCACCCGTCCAGTTACACAGGCCGTTCACTTATCCTGTTAAACAGGCTCTTAATACTCTTAACTCCACTGAGCCGTTGGACGAGGAAGTCATCCGCCGAGTCGGGGACGAGGAAGTCACCCGCCGAGCCGGGGACGAGGAAGTCACCCGCCGAGCCGGGGACGAGGAAGTCACCCGCCGAGCCGGGGACGAGGAAGTCACCCGCCGAGCCGGGGACGAGGAAGTCACCCGCCGAGCCGGGGACGAGGAAGTCACCCGCCGAGCCGGGGACGAGGAAGTCACCCGCCGAGCCGGGGACGAGGAAGTCACCCGCCGAGCCGGGGACGAGGAAGTCACCCGCCGAGCCGGGGACGAGGAAGTCACCCGCCGAGCCGGGGACGAGGAAGTCACCCGCCGAGCCGGGGACGAGGAAGTCACCCGCCGAGCCGGGGACGAGGAAGTCACCCGCCGAGCCGGGGACGAGGAAGTCACCCGCCGAGCCGGGGACGAGGAAGTCACCCGCCGAGCCGGGGACGAGGAAGTCACCCGCCGAGCCGGGGACGAGGAAGTCACCCGCCGAGCCGGGGACGAGGAAGTCACCCGCCGAGCCGGGGACGAGGAAGTCACCCGCCGAGCCGGGGACGAGGAAGTCACCCGCCGAGCCGGGGACGAGGAAGTCACCCGCCGAGCCGGGGACGAGGAAGTCACCCGCCGAGCCGGGGACGAGGAAGTCACCCGCCGAGCCGGGGACGAGGAAGTCACCCGCCGAGCCGGGGACGAGGAAGTCACCCGCCGAGCCGGGGACGAGGAAGTCACCCGCCGAGCCGGGGACGAGGAAGTCACCCGCCGAGCCGGGGACGAGGAAGTCACCCGCCGAGCCGGGGACGAGGAAGTCACCCGCCGAGCCGGGGACGAGGAAGTCACCCGCCGAGCCGGGGACGAGGAAGTCACCCGCCGAGCCGGGACGAGGAAGTCACCCGCCGAGCCGGGGACGAGGAAGTCACCCGCCGAGCCGGGGACGAGGAAGTCACCCGCCGAGCCGGGGACGAGGAAGTCACCCGCCGAGCCGGGGACGAGGAAGTCACCCGCCGAGCCGGGGACGAGGAAGTCACCCGCCGAGGTAGTCACCCGCCGAGCCGGGGACGAGGTAAACCAGAGGTATACGTTACTTTGACCCATTCCCCCGAAGTTGTCATCCAGCGCCAGTCATCCATTTAGCAGCACAAGAACTGTCTTTAAGAATCTGAATAAGCAATCGTTCAGGATTACTTATTCTCCATATGTAGGGTAATCGTACGCTACATACGTCAGACCAATTCTGGAATATGCGGCGCCAGTGTGGACTTGTCGAGGAACATACAGCGATGTTGGAGAGCATGCCACGGGACCGGTTCCACAGCCGAGAGGTACGAGTTACAAGGGAAGACTCGACCTCAAGTGACAGGGGAAGAGATGACACGGGAAGACACGGTGATGGGGAGGAAGGAGGGTAATGGCGAGAGGGTGTAGGGCAGGTGGATGAGGGAGAAGAGTCTGCCCATGACAGAACACCCCGGTACATCACCCCTCACAGTACCAGGGCACGACGCCGTCTGGTCCAGTTTATGGGTGACCTTGCACTAGACAATGTCAGTTGCTTTTTCCACATTAACTGTGGAGGGCGAAGCAGCAGCAGTGGGTGCCACGGAAGTTTCTAAACCTGAAGGTCTAGGGCTCTTCCTGCCGCAGATCATTTTCTCCAGACACCTTCCCCATCTCCCCCAGTGCCGGATAACCGGCTGTACCCGGGCCTCTCTGCCCCCCCTCTCCAACTTTCTCTCCTCTATTGTCTCCTCTTTACACTCTCCTACCCTATCCACCTTTCTTCCCCCCCCCCCAACCCTTCCCCAACATTAACCATTCCCTCTCCCCCCACCACCTACCCTCTATTCCCCCCCTTTCCCCTCAATCTCTTAGTCTCTAATGTAATACTGTTCACCTTCAGAGTGGAGTGAATAAATCTAGGTACTCTGTCAGCCTGTTTTTACCAATTTTTGTGTGGTTCAATATTGGGTCTTATAGCCACTGTTAATAGGACAAGTAGGACCGATCCCGCCCTGTCAGTGTTCGTCCCGTACCCCAGTTCACTCCCCTGCAAAGTTGGCCGAGGCTAGCAAACAATCGACATTTTCTCTTATATAGATGTTTACACAGTCCCAGTCAGGGTCCCAGCCAGGGTCCCAGTTAGTGTAGTACTCTGCTGACCGGGTCCCAGCCACCAGTCAGTGTAGTACTCTACTGACCGGGTCCACCTGGACAATCAAGTGGTATTTGAGTCCACAAGTTTTTCCTGTACGTAGAAGTGACCTTATCTAAGAGTGAGGAGACGAGGGAGTATGATACCCACCAAGAATTATTAATAAGACGTCCGTAACTGCGCTATTGGAGCAACTCTCGCCGTCTCTAAGGTGTACTCTGCCACCTCAGTTCCGTAACTTGCTCATAAGGGACACTGAGAGTATTACTAATGTCTTGATGGTGAAATGGATTATTATGGAGTCACTGACTTGTGTGTACATACACTGTTTAATGCCAAGTAATTTGGATAGATTATTACTTTGTGCTAGAACGAATTATCGATTTCGCGAGTCTTGTTAATATAAATATCCAACAAATTATTTTTCCTTTAGTTATTAGTAATATTAATAAAACTATTTGTTTCTCTTACGGGTGTTTTAGAATTGGGTTCATTTTTATTTCTCAAATACACACACACACACACACACACACACACACACACACACACACACCAGTTAACTAACAGTTGAGAGGCGGGATCAAACAGCCGAAGCTCAATCCCCGCAAGTAAAACTAGGTAAGAATAACTAGACGAGTATACTCACCACTCTGGAGGCTAGAAGCAACAGAGGGGACATGATCACAACATACACGATAATAAGGTTAAAAATAAGGGGGACGAAGATAACCTCTTCATATTGAGAGAAGAAGAACAGGAGGACACAAGTGGAAGCTGGAAACACAAATGAGCGGAAGGAATGTAAGGAAATGCTCGTGGACTGTACGGGTGGTCAAATAATGGAATGTACTGAAATAAGTTGTGGAAGCCACCTCCATCCATAATTTTAAGGTCAGCTCGATAAAGAATTTGAACGTCAAAATAGTTACATTGTAATACAAAAAGTACAAGAAGGGTAGTAGGCGGGGCCTCAAGAGCTAGAGCTCACGCCCCTGTAGACAGTGAGAGATAAGCACCTACACATGCTCACCAGCAACTGTGTGAACCTCACCAGTTGTGAGTCGGGTTGGTGGGGTGTTTATCATAGTCACGGGTGTGAAGACTGGGTTTACCAGTATACGGCCCTTGTTTATTAGGATGGGTTATTAAACGACTCCCGTTGAACAGTTAAACCAGCCCGTCCACCCCGTTGTACTTCGAACAACAGTCGTCAGCGAAGCACTTGTTCCAGAAGTGTTCGGACGTCATCAGTTGTGAGTCTGTACTGTAGCTGTAATGGCAGCCCGTCCTCCAAACAAAGATCCAAAAGTGATTCCATGCACCCGCCAAACCCCCTGTTTATGAATGAAAAGCGATTTACACAAGACTCACAACTGCTGAAGTTCGAACATATCCGGAACAAGTGCTTCACTGACGAATTTTGTTCGAATCACAACGCTATAAATGCTTCACCCACGTACTACAAATACAAATAATCGCCAACAGAACCTAAACACCTAACCTAACCTATCCTATGCCTATATATGCACAATATGCTAATATATTATAGTATTAATTTATACTTGAGAAAATTCCCGTTTTGAATGAACAGCAAGTTGAAATTTATGAATGCGTCTGTGGGGTTGACCGCTGGATGTAATGGACTAGAGTCGAGGACGGGTTGGTAATGGAGCTGTACCCAAATGGATCCATGAGTGTCCTCGGGGGTTGATCAGTCAGGGAGCTTAGTTAATAAGCACCAGGACTGACCAATCCTTATAGACGATCACTGGTGCGGTGGTCACGGTACCGTGTACGTTTAGGGGTTATCCTAGACGGCATGGGTTCAAATCCTGGCCGGGTCAAAGAGTTCTTAGTGATATATGGCTTGCGCGTTCATATATCGCTGCCATATATATATAATAAATATAAATATAAATAAATAAATATATATATATATATATATATATATATATATATATATATATATATATATATATATATATATATATATATATATATATATATATATATAATATATATATTATTAAATATGACCGAAAAAGTAAGATTAATAATTCTAACACGAATTTTCTCAATCTTTCGTACATTTCTTTTCACTGTTGGAGGTAAATCAAAAATCAATTCTCCAAAATTCATTTTTATTTCTAGTCTGACGCGACACGAGCGCGTTTCGTAAAACTTATTACATTTTCAAAGACTTTAGTTCACAAATACACAACTGAATAGAACTTACGCATCTCCGATTTTATATCTACATTTGAGTGAGATGGAAGGGGTGATGTGGCATTAACACAAGACAGAACAAGATGTGGCATTAATAGGGTATTAATTTCATCAACTCAAGACAGAACAAGAGTATTAATAGGGTATTAATTTCATCAACACAAGACAGAACACGAAACAATGGATATTGAATAGAAGTGTTTGTAGAAAGCCTATTCCCGCCGAGCCGGGGACGAGGAAGTCACCCGCCGAGCCGGGGACGAGGAAGTCACCCGCCGAGCCGGGGACGAGGAAGTCACCCGCCGAGCCGGGGACGAGGAAGTCACCCGCCGAGCCGGGGACGAGGAAGTCACCCGCCGAGCCGGGGACGAGGAAGTCACCCGCCGAGCCGGGGACGAGGAAGTCACCCGCCGAGCCGGGGACGAGGAAGTCACCCGCCGAGCCGGGGACGAGGAAGTCACCCGCCGAGCCGGGGACGAGGAAGTCACCCGCCGAGCCGGGGACGAGGAAGTCACCCGCCGAGCCGGGGACGAGGAAGTCACCCGCCGAGCCGGGGACGAGGAAGTCACCCGCCGAGCCGGGGACGAGGAAGTCACCCGCCGAGCCGGGGACGAGGAAGTCACCCGCCGAGCCGGGGACGAGGAAGTCACCCGCCGAGCCGGGGACGAGGAAGTCACCCGCCGAGCCGGGGACGAGGAAGTCACCCGCCGAGCCGGGGACGAGGAAGTCACCCGCCGAGCCGGGGACGAGGAAGTCACCCGCCGAGCCGGGGACGAGGAAGTCACCCGCCGAGCCGGGGACGAGGAAGTCACCCGCCGAGCCGGGGACGAGGAAGTCACCCGCCGAGCCGGGGACGAGGAAGTCACCCGCCGAGCCGGGGACGAGGAAGTCACCCGCCGAGCCGGGGACGAGGAAGTCACCCGCCGAGCCGGGGACGAGGAAGTCACCCGCCGAGCCGGGGACGAGGAAGTCACCCGCCGAGCCGGGGACGAGGAAGTCACCCGCCGAGCCGGGGACGAGGAAGTCACCCGCCGAGCCGGGGACGAGGAAGTCACCCGCCGAGCCGGGGACGAGGAAGTCACCCGCCGAGCCGGGGACGAGGAAGTCACCCGCCGAGCCGGGGACGAGGAAGTCACCCGCCGAGCCGGGGACGAGGAAGTCACCCGCCGAGGTAGTCACCCGCCGAGCCGGGGACGAGGTAAACCAGAGGTATACGTTACTTTGACCCATTCCCCCGAAGTTGTCATCCAGCGCCAGTCATCCATTTAGCAGCACAAGAACTGTCTTTAAGAATCTGAATAAGCAATCGTTCAGGATTACTTATTCTCCATATGTAGGGTAATCGTACGCTACATACGTCAGACCAATTCTGGAATATGCGGCGCCAGTGTGGACTTGTCGAGGAACATACAGCGATGTTGGAGAGCATGCCACGGGACCGGTTCCACAGCCGAGAGGTACGAGTTACAAGGGAAGACTCGACCTCAAGTGACAGGGGAAGAGATGACACGGGAAGACACGGTGATGGGGAGGAAGGAGGGTAATGGCGAGAGGGTGTAGGGCAGGTGGATGAGGGAGAAGAGTCTGCCCATGACAGAACACCCCGGTACATCACCCCTCACAGTACCAGGGCACGACGCCGTCTGGTCCAGTTTATGGGTGACCTTGCACTAGACAATGTCAGTTGCTTTTTCCACATTAACTGTGGAGGG